AGGGAAAACTTGCCACTAGGGTTTTAAATTCATAATTTACCGGACACAATCTTTAACAAATCAAATAGATTGATTCCAGTAAGCAAAAAACTTGAAACCCCGATGATAAGTTTTCTACTGACGGCACTCATATGTGGTAATACTTAGCTTTTCAGAACTTTCGGGGTAGTTTTCTTTGCACATAAAGATAAGAGATTGGTTTTGGCGTCAGGAGATTGGTTTGACACTCAGTTTATTATAGAATTTGACGACAGAGAGATTGGTTTGACATTCAGTTTATTATGACAACGATGGTGGCTTGTTGATCAGATGATAATAAAATAATAAGTCAAATTCCGCCGATCTGCTGATATGGTATTTTTTTGCTTACAAGCAGTTTGTCAATTTGAATCTTTCTAAATAGTTTTTTCAACAGATTTGTGATCATTCTACCCTATTTTTCATCTATTATCTAAAACCTTTTTTTGATATTTTTCTCTATTTTTTTTCTTTTTTGCTATTCAAGTTCAATTGCCCTTCTTGTAAAAAGTATCTTCTACCAATCTTTAGGGTTGTCGATAAGATCATATATCCAAACTATTATAGCCTTATTAATATTTGTTTTATACTGCTAGTTTATAAATTCTATTTCTGTGATAAGATCTAGAATGTTTTTTGATAAAAAGCCTAGTTTAATATTTTTTCTCCTTATGTTTATCCATCTACCCAACTGCATTAGAGAGTATAATAACCTGGACTCTGTAGCATTCCTTTTCTTACTTTGTATTATATTATAGATCTTTTTCTTTAACAGATTAGATCTTGCTGCTGCAAGTATTGCTTTGCTTATATTGTCTTAAAGCTTATCAAGTTCTGAAGAAGCTGTTCTTTGTTGCTGAGTTTTATCTAGCAGATATGAGATACTTGCACGTTTTCAAAGCAAACCATCTATTTGTTTTCTGTAATTTTTCTAATTTTTTTTAGATGCTTTATCACAAAAAAATATTGTTTATATTTGTTTACTTTTCTTGCATACTGCAGCACTTTGAAAAGTACTGAGATATTTGAGATCAATTCTGCTATCATTGTACTGTAGTCACTATTTGTATATATATCTATTTCTTGTATTTCTGTATCAAATAAACTATATAAGAGTTCATCAAACAACTATACTTGATTTATTCTTATATTTGTCTTTCTATTAGACTATATAAATTTTTTGGTTCTTAGATAGATTGTTCTAAAAACATTAGCAAAATTCTGTTTTTGTAACTAGTTTATTAGAGGATCTCATTTGATATACTTTAGACTTGGTATTTTGTTAAGCTCTGCATTAGCTATACTATTAAAATCTCTCATTACTATAACTTGTAATCTGAGAGATCGGTTAATATATTTCTCAATGATTGTTTTATATACAATTTTCTTCTTGTATTCATTGTTTAGAGAGATATAAAGCATTATTACTATAATCTCAAGTTGTTTGAATACTAGGCTTACTAAGATTAAATATTCATTGACTTTATCTATTTGCTCTATATGTTTCTTCTATTATTTATTTATTATTAAACCAACTTCTAAGCCTTTCTTCTTGTCTTTACTTAAACTTAACCAGAAGCTTTTAAAGTTCATATATTCTCTAATTATTTACATTCTTTCTTTACTTGAAATGTTGGATTCAAAAACTTCTAAAATATCTATTTTGTTATCTACTATCTATTCATATAAAAAATCTATTTTATGAGTATTGTTTTTGATATTATTGATATTATGAGTCACTATATTAAATTCTGTCTTTTTCTTTATATGATTTTTATTTGTACTGTTTATATTGTTAATGCTTTCTTTCTAGATTATCGAATATCTAAGTGCAATATTCTTGCCTTTTTTGTCTTCTATATCTATTGAATAGCAAAAGATTATTTTTTCCCAGTTGAACTCTTCTATATTGTCTTTCTGCAAAAAGGGGTATATTCTTTTGCTGATTGTTTGCGGTTCAACTATTGCTCCTATTTAGGAGTGTTAAGCAACCCTTGATTGCTTATTCAAATTCTTAAAATGATATAGAATTTCTACCAACATTGATTAATGTTAGTCGATTCTAGCTACTAGATCATCTCTTTCGACTGCTTTTTTATCTTTTGCACCTTTTCTTTTCTTTGGGCTGGTGCAATCTTTTCTTTTTTTTTGAAACTTTTATTACTTCTTCGTAACTGCCTATCATAATGTTAATATTAGACTCTTCTTCTTTTGCTAAAATCACTATATTATATCTGGTTTTTTTTCTTGATAGAGCTTCATCTCTTTGTCAATAGATTTTTTCTCCAATTCTTGTTAGTATCATGTTTTTTCCCTTTCAATATGTTTTCTATTGTGAAGTCTTCTTTTTGTTTGTTTCTATTTATTGAAAAATTAAGTTATTATACCTACAGACTTTCTTTATGTTTCTTTCATCTCCTGTTTATTCACAAAGATTACTTTTGCAATTTGTTTTATGTATCTACTTCTTCTCTTTGGAATATAAACTCCTTTGCCTTCCTGTCTTTAAGATATCTTAATAATAAAGTTTCTGAGAAGCCTTCTGTGATCTCTGTAAGTTTTGCAATATACTTGTGCTTTTTATCTCTTTCTTCATAATCTTTTTTTTCTATAGATATATAAGCAAGTCTTTCATCCCTACTGGAAGAGCCCAAGAAATGTTTATATTTTCCAAGTCTTCACTGAATTCTACTACTACCAGAGCTCTGCTATTTCTTTATTTGATATATATATCTTCTATAGTACTTAACTTCTTATAAATATAATTGACTTCTTTTGTATTTATATCTACTAGTAGATTTTAGATTATAATACAATCTATGTTTATATATCTATTATGATTGTAACTTCTAAATACTTTTGGCTTTTCATTGTAGTATCTTTTATTTTGATATGAGTTTTCTTCTATTTCTCGAATAGCTCTCTTCAAGCTATTTTTTTTAGTTTTGTAGTCAAAGTTTGGTTTTACTCTTGATTTATTATTCTGATTTTTTTGTCTATATATTGAGTTTCTTATTTCATTATCAGTTACTAGAATTAAGTGAAGCCAATCTTCTTCTTTTTTTAAATTCTTTTGATTGCTTCCTCTCTGCTATATTCACAGTTGAAGTTTATTTCTATCTAACTGTTTTCATTAATGAATACTTTCTGTACTAACTTTATATATTTGTCTCTATTCAATATTCCTT